CGAGTTTGTTTGCCCTTCGGGCAAACAAACTTGCTGGTATATATTAAGAAGAAATATCTATTGAGCATAGCACTCACTCGCGACATAAATTTTGCGATTCCACGAAAAAATCAGGCGGATTAAGACAGAGGCGGTCGCCGATTCCCATCAACGCCAATTCCTAATTCCCAAAGAGCAATGGACACGGATCCTTCACCCATTCTTGCAATTTTCGAAATCATGCAATTTAAAGAGTTTCGAAGGCAAAAATAGAATTGGGGAGCTCACGGACGTATATTTTGTGCCCTTGAGTGCATTAAGAGGCGATGCATGCCGGATTTTTGTTGCCAACAACGGTTTCTAATATTTCTATGTTCGTTATATTTTTATTTTTTCTCATTCTCTCGCGACTGCATCGCGTGAAGTGCGAGGAATGAGATTATCAAGCGTCTAGCAATTAGGTATTAGGTATGCTCGGACAGCCTTCATAACCGTAATAAGATTTTGAAGTCCATGTAGCACTTCATAATTCAAATAAATTTACGCATAAAACGCCATGAAGCCTCGATTTCGTCATTCCAACATGGAACAATAATTCCTGCCGAACAATAATTGCCTTCATTATGGACACTTTCCGTTTCTGCTTCATCGCGACGATCACAATTTCACAGCCTTGGGAGTGCCGCAAGAGATCCTTGCGTACACGTTGGGCGCCCTGAACCGAGGAGACTCCTTGTCCCAGAAAATCCGATCCGACCAGGCCCGCCGGGATCGGCTGGAAGCGGAACTCAACGACATCCTCGAACACAACCAGACGACCATTCCGCGTTTGCTCGCGGCGGCATCGCTCAGGTAGTGTGCCTGACGTAAACTTTTAACACTAATTCGAGTGGTCATGGGAGGGAAGTGTATCTTGACATTGTTCGTACTTTGTAAGTCGAAATCGTGTAATTCAGGTGTGAGCAGATGATAATATCGTGCGAGCTGGGGGGAGAGCCGGAAATCCTTGAAGCGGACAGGTGTTGCTCGGAGATCTTCAAATCTCGACCGCTGACCTCGATGGGCCCCTGCATCTCCACCCACGGATACACCCGCTATCAGAACTACCCCGGAGCTTCCATGGGACTCAGCGTCATGCTCCGGGTCTTCAGCTCTTCCTGTACGTTCATTCTCTCGTACGTCTGCAACGTATGACCATGAAGGGCGAACATCCAAGACGTTAAGATTGTGAAGGTGGGTGCGCAGTACACGAACTCGGGTCCAAAAGTTTCTCGTGTCCTCCAGTCAAAGCCTGCTACAAAGAGTAATGAAATGCCCAACCCTCCTGGGCAGATAGTTTCCTATGTTTTGTTCTCATGATATCGCCGTTGGCGTTATGCGCAGAGAACTCAGATCTCTCAGAGACCCTCGCCTGATGATGCCGTAATGGAATCGAAGGAGATCATCGAACTGAAATCTTGCACTCAATACGAATGGTTGCTGAGGATTTGCAGGACGATGCCATTGTTCCGTTGCTTATCGCAAAAGAAAGAACAGTTTTTCCACAAACTCTTTTAAGTTTTCCAAGTGGGAGTTAGCGGCCCTCTTCTTCCCGGGAGACACTCTACTCGTGTGTAGAATAATTGATACCACCCTAGAGTTCTTCGTTGGGAATTAAGTGAGGATTTTCTCAGGTCCCAGGAATTCAAGCCTCAGTTCATCAGAAGAGCAGAGAAAATATTTTATATAATGGAAAAGCAATGGAAAAACCAAGCATACGTCATCTTCGATAACAGTCAAGAACGGAAAATATTAAATGGAAAATGCGCATCCGGAACACTTTGCGAACAGAGACTTTCTTCTGCCGTTGACAGGGTTAAACAGGAGCGTCCTGTCAGATGTGGCCCAAGCAGACGGATACAAGGTCATCCTGACGGCCAACTACGAGTCCCCCTCACTTGCTGCCACGATGAGGGCGCATTCCATCAACCCGGGCAGGAAGACGTTTCTAGGCATCCAAGCCGTCAGGGTGAGTCATCTGTAGATGCTCGTCTAGTTTGGTTATTCTTGTCATCCGATGAGCATAGCATCCCAAAAAAAATGGACAACCCTAGTTTAAGATATTCGGGTGTCGGTTGCCGAATAATCATTGAAGAGAGATAGGTCTGATTGTCGTAGCAAATATTTTTTGATTATGTATGAAGAAATCTCTGTAGTGGCAACCAGAATTTCCGTTCTTCTCCCTTGGGGCACCCGACCCACCAGGTGGAACATTCGGGGATGAACGTCTACCCGGTGAGGTCGGACGCGTGCGGCGACGTGGACCTGACGACGGCTCCGACCAAATCGGTTCACGACCTCATGGATGACTATCCCTATTCCTGGAACTGTGTCGAGAGGATCTTCCGGGAGGCGACCATCAACTCCTCGTGCAAGTGCTACCCTGCCGACACCCTTTCGTCCGAAGGTTTCCTCGATTTTTGGCATTTCAGAGCCGAATCTCGGATGAATGTCGTGGCATAACAGCACCGTTCTTTTTTTCTCTCTCTCTCTTCCGCTTAGAGCTGCAGAACCTCAACCTATCCGTGTGCAGACCTGAGACGTACATGTGGTGCATGAGACAGGAAGTGGCGAGCGACACGTATGCTGACCTCGTATATGAAAGGGCTGGTGAGCTGCTTCACTCGGATTGAATCCTTTTTCTTCGAAATCTAAATGAGACTTCTCACACGTTCGTTGCTTTGACGAAAATTGTTTCAGTTGTAAAAAAATAAAAAATAAAAATTCGACTTTCTGGGTGAAATGCACCAGATCCGTTCGATTTGATAACTTTTCACAATGGTTTTCCTCGGGTATAATATTACACCCGTCAAACCGAACTCCATAGAAAACCACATGAGATCGGATCAGTTCAATTATGGTTGGTCTCTTTCCTCCCAAAACCCCCCGGGAGTGGCTACCCTGGAGAAGGGGAAAAAAAAAGAAGGAATGAAATTCACATCCTCCAAAAAAGAGATTCAGTGTTCTCCCCAACCTCAGGGAGATGGAACTTCAAATTTGCTGGAGCGGTTCTGTGGTGAAAGAGGAAGAAGTATGCCAAATTTCGTTCCTGTTGAAGCTCTCAGAGAAGAATACGAGGAAGTTGAATTTTGTGGCGTGAAGGGGTTGAAGAAAGGAAATAGGCGCTACCAAAAAGCCTATTCGAGTATGTTCGAATTCGAAAATCAGCTTCTCCTCTGGACTTGATGTTGATTTCACTGATCGTTGCAGCTCCAATCGAAGGAGGCAAACGCTCGACTGCCCGAATGTGCCCAGAGAACTCTTACCATCGAGCACCTGCCACACACTTGGCGACGCCGGAAGATCAGATCCTCGCATTTCCCACTCTCGCATCGCCCTTCCCCAAATTCCACCAACTGCCACACGTCTCCGCTGCCTTCGCCCTCCATCCCATTCCCTCCAGTTCCACTTGCAGTGCTGGAGTCCTTTCTTTTCGAAATGCGAGGCAGTCGTTAAGCCTACTTTAGGGAATTGGACGAAGACTTGATGTTCCTCATTGATGTTCCCTTTTGTCCTTTTGTCCTTTTATTTTTATTTATTTTACCTTTTTTTATGGAGTTCTTGTCTCGGAAGAGAGTGGGGTCGTGTTCACCTACCATATTGTTTGTTTGAATCTTTTTTTGCTTCAATTACGTATCTCTCATGCGTTATATTTCGCTGATATCCAAATTTCCGTGAGAGGGCAAATTCTTCTAATGCAGTGATGTACAACCCGTGGGAGACCTTTTTTGCGGCCCCTTGGATGCCTCCGGCCTCTAAAAATCCATATCCAAAATCCATGCGGCCAATTTCGGCCTATGTTCGAGGGCCTGCGGCCCTCGAACCCCTCGAACAAGAGCCGAAATCTCAATTTGGCCCTCTAGGGGGAAATGGTTGTGCACCATTGTTCTAATGGGTTCATATTGAAAATTTGAAAATCAATTGGGCGTGTACGTAGTTTCAGAATAANGCAAGAAATAGACGCAGTGGATCCGGATATGATAGCACGCACCTTCCTAAACATGGAACGTCGTGTCCAAGCATGCTTGGATGCAAACGGCGGACATTTCCAACATATGTTGTGACATCGTTTTGATTGTCATAGAGTAAGGTACGTGCAGTTCAAATTTCGTTGTAATACGTTCAATAGTTTAAAGGTTATTTGCGCTTTTTCGGGTACAAAAGCGAGTGGGACACCCTGTAGCTTCGCCTTGGAGGCAGGCGTCTTTCATCTGCTTTGGTGCGTGCGGACATTTTCATCTGCCATTCCCAGAGAGATCTATTGGGAAATGGCAGATGTCGCGGTCAGTCTATCACAAGTTCTCGAATTTTTCATTCCAACTCTCCGCGATCGCGGACTCGACTCAGTGCGCATGCGTAGAAACGACTCAGTGCGCATGCGCATTCTTTCACCTGGGTTGGGGGAGCAGTCAACCACTGGAAGCGCCAGTTACCATCCTGCCCTCGGGTTTGACGGATCCATAGAAGACTAAGAGAGTAGCTGGAGATAGTGAGGCTTGGCGAGCTCGTGAAATGCGCCATCACGCATTCCATTTCCATGCGACTCGGACGTGCGAATCAAGAATATTATCGAGTTTTCGCAGAAGACCCACGACGCAGCTATTACTTATTTGTTTATTGATAAATAAATCAATTTACCGCATCCTAACTATATTGGTGTTAGGATTGGCAGAGGTATATTCCAGTGGCACAGTGACCAGTAGAATGGCAGATTAACACCTGGACCAGAACTCTAGCTGTTCTCTTGCAAACGGACTTTTAAAAAAATTTCCATTCGGCTTTTGATCGAGAATGATCCTGAGGGTGAGCCACTCTTATTGCCACTAATGGGGAAAATGATGCATGCGATTGGCCACTCGCCCAAGCGTCCGCATTTGCCGTAGATCCGATGGGGAAACTGTCAGCTCTTCGTTGATTTCCTTTGTCGCGTCTCGAACGTGTTTCTCCATCGCCTCTCATCTGAGCCCAACCGGTCGGATGGAGTCGACAGTGTCGACAACTCGACACTCGACAGTGGCGATCCGGACCGGACGAACGAGCGCTAAAAGTAATGCAAAGACATTGAGCAAAGCCCGGTCATTTCACTCCTCGTGTCGGGAAGACACGAAATTTTTAACGCATAACACGTGAAGTATAACGTATGTCGCAACGTATAACGTATGTCGTAACGTATAACGTATGTTGTAATGTATAACGTATAACGTGTAACACTACATACACATTTGCCGCACAATTGGAAATTTTCTTTTATCTCTGCAATTCACAACGCTGCAATGGAACCAAAACGGCCTTGGTCGGTGCGTTTCAAAAGATATCGTCATCAAGTCGAGAATCCCTGTGTAAGAAGCTGAATTTGCACAAAAGCATCGCCGAATTCGTTCGTGATAGCATAGCACTTACCCTCTACCGCTTACCCTCTACCGCTTACCCTCTACCGCTTACCCTCTACCGCTTACCCTCTACCGCTTACCCTTTACCACCAAAGAAGAGAAACCGTCAAGACGGTGAGTAAACGTCAGACGAATCTGTAATCGAATCTCCAGCCCGAACCTGCAATTAAGCGATTCGAGTCATGACGAATCTTAGGACTCATGGCCTTCAGGTTCCAAGTCTTCCGAGGTTAAACCTCCATCGCAGATGCCTCATCGCGGAAAAGCTTCCGATCCGACTCGATTCTCGTGCGGGGAGCTTCCGCGAATTCAAATCCCTTCGGGCGGTTCGAGCCGATTCCGTCGCGTCGTTCGCGGGGGGCGAGGTCGGCCTTTCGAGGTCCGATTTTTTTTTTTTTCCTTCAAGACCGGAACGACCAAGTCGGGTTACAGCAAAATATCCACAATAAAGAAAATCAATTCTCAGGAATAGGATGTGTGACGTGAAGAACTGAAGGCAGGGGAGGTTGGATGGCGAGAGTCGACACAACCCGGGACAACCGGGTTGTGACAACCTGGTTGCGACGACTTATGCATTATGCATGACAAACTTTATTCTTTATATATATAGAGAGAGAGAGATCCAGCCTCACAAAAGCACTTTCGTTCATTAGTAAGGTAAATGCCTAGATATGAACATGTCCAAGTCAATCGATTAATTGGCTTTAAAAGTATATATAATACATAGATGATGTTTATTGAATCTCCTTTTTCCTAATTTTACGTTTATATCGAGACAATTCCGCCATGTGAGATGCTCGGGAGAATTTTTTTTTCCTTTTTGCTCGCTTGCTGCGATAGACTTTAGGCCACTTTTCAGCCACCCTTCCCTAAAGCAGGCATTTTTCGGTGATCGCTAATTCGCGATCGGCTAAACCGCTCAACGGACCGCGAATCCATTGGATCGAGGCGGATTTGATGTCGGCGCTTGGAAGTATGAACCTTCAGCAGGGAAGCGTTCGATCAACTGTGCTGCCTGGGATATCGCCTTCGCGGGCCGAAATCGTTCAAAATACCTGCGGGATGAAAGCCGAAACTCTTCCATCGCCTATCGGATAAGGATCGATGACCCCCCCCCGCGGGGGGGGGGTCAACGTTTTCGCGGAATATGCCATCGCCGCGATTCCGAATCCCATCGCGGCCCACCGATAAGCATCGCGGGATCGAGATGCCATCTCCCTCACGACCAGGCCCCTTTCCTTTCCGTTTCGCAAACGGCCTGACCGTGACGACGCGATACGCATCAGACGCAAAAGGTCGACGCGTCGCGATCGCTTGTCACCCGCGACACCGAATGCAGTTCCCTCTCTGACTACCGTGGACCAGTCGTCTCAGTTCCTCGTGCCAGTGGGCCGCCGTGAAGATGGAACCGAGGATGTTGCGGAGGAAGTCATGGATGCAGCAGTCGGGGATCCCCTGGACCATCGAGCCCATCCCCGAGATCCCCAGCGAGTAGGTCTCACGGCGATTCGCGCGATCCTCGTTCCAAATCCCTTCGCGAAATCTTTCGCGGATCTTGCGGAACGATTCGCGCGAATCTTGGAGGGGGCAGCGTGGATTTTGCAGCGCCTGGAATCGGCGAAATCTTCCCGCTCTGAAAAATTGCGAGGATGCGAGACGTTTGAATGCCCCCCCCCTGTAAAAATAAAACTTTTAATTAAATAAATTTATCTGAATTGATTTTTATCCAAGTTTACAGGATGGAAATCCTCGCATTCTCTGCTGTCCTTTGGTCAGCGCAGTAGAAAATGAGCATGCGCTTTCCTTTGAAAGGAGGGGGGGGGAGGATTGTGAAAAATAATTTGCAAAAGGTGGGAGAGCCAAATTAAAAAAATGCATTCATGCGGATTCGCAATTCTCGACCGAGGCCGCCTCCACGACGGGGAACATCTTGAACTTGCCGTGCACTCGGGACCGAAGGCGGCTCTGTGCCGCTGACGATCCCGCCTTTTTTGCTCCGAGTCCAACAGTTTGGACAGTCCGAACTGTTTGGAGCACTGTTGCGAATTGCAAAAAGAAAGAAGAGGCGAATTGAGACCGATTTCGCAAGTGAGGAATTCCGTGCCGTCTCCTTGCTGCATTTTCTCCGCTTGAAACCAGAAAATAATTCCCTAGGATGATTTCTCCCCATCAACCGATTCCTTCTGCCAGTTATTTACATTTAAGAAATACAATTTTAATTTTAATTTTTTAAAAAAGGCGACCTGCCCCTCAGAGCCGGAAACCGCCCCGTTTCGTTCTGAATTCCACCTGGAAGGGAAAAAAAAGGTTAGGCAAGGACAACGCAACCACAAACCATGCAAATTCTCTGCGACACCAATAACTTCACTGGCAACCCTCCAAGGAAGAATCGGATCGAAGCGAATCCCTCGAACGCGTTGGATCTATTGAAAAGAAGTATGGTCGGTCGATTCCTGTTCGGTTTCACCCGATTTTCCCGCTGTTCGATTTCTCGAGCATTCCTCTCTGGGCCCGGTGGGATGACGCATCAAGGCGAAAAATTACATTCTTTCGCTCTCCTTTCCTTCACCCACACATTTGACGGCAATGTGTGGGTGAAGTTTGCTCTCTCCGTAATACTAGTAACCTCCATTTTAGATTTTATTACAATGCGTCCTTACCAACCTAGATGAGTGATCACGGAATAAAATTTACCGTTTCATAAATGTTAGATATAAGTAATTTTGTCTTTGTAATTTTGTCTTCTGTCTTTGCTTCTGTTCGCAAAAACGTTTGCATGCTGCGATAAAAAAGTTTTCCCAAAATGCCTGTCTCGAGCATTTCGAACTGCAGAATTTTTTTTCCCAAGTCGGAAGTCGCCGCATCCCCCGAAAGAACCGAAGGCGATCGACATCTTCGACAAAGCGCTGGAGACATTCTGCGACTGGCACGACATGCACGGTCTGTACTTCCTGAGGAACAGGAAGAACCTGGGAATCGTAAAATGGCTCATCTGGGTGGTGGTCGAGTGCAGCGTCATCTCGTGGGCCCTGTACCTGTGCTACTCGCCCTTCACGAACCTGATCAACGGGAAGCACACGGTGTCGATGGATATGGATGGCGCTCTGTTGAAGAGGAGGCTCCTGCCGGACATCACCATCTGCCCGACGAATCCTCTGCGGGAAGATGCTGCTACAGGTCTGGGAATTTTCTTTATCCTGAGACATAAGAAATCGAGTGGTGAAATTTTCGACTGTTGTAGATGTTTGAGCGAGGATCATCCCCGCGAGAGTTTTGCTTCGGAGTGCTCGATTGACCAGACAACACACTGAATATTCAGTGCATCGAATCGATGCATTTTGGTGGTGAAAAAAATATTCCCTTCATGTGATCAAATTTTCGATGCGGTAAAAACGCATCACATGGAGAGCAGATTTTTTTCACTACCAAAATGCATCAATTTGATTCTTTGCGCATACGTTCCGCATGTGAAGCATTTAGGCCTCATTCTCCATACCATGCCCATTCTCAGTTGCCTAGGACCTCCCCACCCCCGGGGGGGGGAGGGGTAGGAAGGAATTCAATCCGAAGACTATGGGATTTCAGAACAGATATGTAGGTCGCCAAAAGAAAGAGCACAAGTTTCGATCTACTTCACTTAACTGTGTACCTCCGAAATCTCGCAGTTACAGCTGTTCGGTGGGGAAAATTATGCTTGTTGCCAAATCTGCTTTTAAAAAAAGTTTTCATCTGATTTTTCAAACCCCAAGGAGAGAAAAAAATGTTCTTTCCTTCGGGTGACTGCTCAAAGGCCATGGAGGAGTCTCAAATTATTTTCGTCAAAGCGCTCAAAGAGAAACATGCAATGGCGAATATCTTAATCTTAATGGTGATTAAGATTGAGAGAAGGCGCTGAAGCACCTTTTCGTTCAAGGTGATAGGCTACGAATACTGTCAGATGAACCTATTGCAGGAATATCAGGCTTTCACGCTTGGAAGCTTAGTCTACCGGCGATACGTATTGCACAATCAGTACAAGAAACCAAATACAAACACCATATGGAACTGGACTCGAAAAATGTCAGAAGCGATGACATTAGAATCCCTTCGAGACGCGTGAGCGACTCGCACGGGCCGTAGGGAAGGCGATAGGGTATGAAGAGGCCATGCACTCGCACGCGCTCGAGTGTCAATCCCTCGGCTGTGAATGCCGAAGGCTTGTGAGGCTTTCTTCGACGTGACGAAGTGGAAGACGGAGATCGACATGGAGATGGACGAATTTCGGGCGACCAGGCACGATCGGGAGGTGACGGTTGTGGATCGAAATTCCAGTCGATTATGATTCCAGAGAAACCGGTGAATCGAGATGATGCACTTTCGTCAATTTTCGCATTTTGATTTATTTTCTTCAAGAGGAGAAGGTATTCTTCGACTGAACGTTTCGACGAGAGCCATTCAAAGAATCGTCCAGTCGAGGAAGTGACATGGAACCAAATTCGTTGTCAGTAACGTGGTTAGCGGTGTAACTTGAAGCCACCTTGAAGTCCTGGAAGTTCCTTGCTGCCTTTGCTCGAAGAGGACAGAGTGAAGCGTTTTTCAAAATGCCGATTGAAACCCTTGCTCCTGGGGATGTGACCCTACAATGTTATCATTTTTTTTTTCGTCTGAGTGTTGACTTTTATTCACGTATAAGGGACAAGATGGGAAAATTAACTTCGAGGGAACTCTACTTCCACCGTAAATTATATACTCTTGAAACTATTGTATTAAGTGTTCGAAGCCAGTGTAGAAATTAATTCTGTAGAAAAATAAATAAATAAATAGCGAAACGCCACGAAACGCCATGCATTACGCAAATTAGCGCATTAGTCAGGACCATCATTACGTGTCTTCTATTTCTTCCCCGTCACGATTTTAAAGCTTTGGGAGTGCCTCAAGAGATTCTGGCCTACTCGATGGGCGCCCTGAACCGAGGCGACTCCTTGTCCCAGAAAATCCGAATCGACGAAGTTCGCCGAGATCGGCTGCAAGCGGAACTCAACGACATCCTCGAACACAACCAGACCACGATACCGCACTTGCTCGTTGCAGCGTCGCTCAGGTACGGTGCCTGGATGCAGTTGACGCCGCCGGTGGTTTCCTTGGGGGGGGAAGGCAGCTGTCATGAGATTGGATGGAGAGGCGGTTTCTCTGTGCGTATTGTCGATCGAAAAGATCGTGTCGCCCAGGTGTGAGGACATGGTGATATCGTGCGAGCTGGGAGGGGATTCGCGGATCCTTGAAGCGGAGCAGTGCTGCGCGGAGATCTTCCAATCTCGACCGCTGACCTCGATGGGCCCCTGCATCTCCACCCACGGATTCAGCCGCATTCAGAACTATCCCGGCTCTTCCATGGGACTCAGCGTCATGCTCCGGGTCTTCAGCTCTTCCTGTACGTTCGAGTTCTGCTACATTTGCTTCAACACTGAAGTCCGATGCACGAAAAGCGGGTGAAAAGGCTTCCTTGGTAGTGTTATCCATGGCCTGCTGCAATGTTTAGCGATGAACTGGATTTGCTGTCGTGATTTGCATCTATGCAAATCCAGTTTACTTGATAAAACCTATAGGTTTTATCAAATCTCTTTCGTGGCCCGTCAAAACTCTTGCCTGGCATATGTCATGGCACTCAAGAGAACAGGAAAGCTTATAAACCTCTGTTCGTCAGATGAGCAGCAAAGACATCAAGAAAAAAAATTAGGAAAAAAAAAATTTCGTCCGTGACTGCGTCTTCCTTGGCCTATGAAACCAGGGTCGAGCTGTCAGATCAGATTTGGGGTGCTTCGTGCTGGAATCCTTGAACCATCTTCCATAATGTCGCCTACATCCATCATCATCCATCGATATAGAAATGTGCGTCAGAAGACTTTGCAAACGGAAGCTCTCTTCTTTGACAGGGCTAAACAGGAGCGTCCTGTCAGATGTGGCCCAAGCAGACGGATACAAGGCCATTCTGACGGCCAACTACGAGTCCCCGTCTCTCGCCGCCAAGATGAGGGCGCATTCCATCAACCCGAGCAGGAAGACGCTGCTCGGCCTCCAGGCCGTCAGGGTGAGTCATCTGCGGATTCTCGACTCGTTTGGTCATCGTTAAATGTGCAGGGTTTTTGCGAGGTATCCCTGGCTGGGAAGGAAAATCGCACCGAAATCCTCGAAGCTCTCGCGTCCTTTGCGTGCCTTCCTAACCGGGACCAATCAGAGTTCAGAAAGGAATTCCTGGAATGGATTCGTAGCGTAGCAAGGAAGGGGAACGAGATAGGGTAATAGGGAATGCGAACCCCTTCTTTTCTTGCCTCCATCGCTCAGGTTTTGGGAATTTGTTTTTTTTTTGCGAAAAGTTATTTTACTTGCTTGCGGGAAAGAGCTGCTTATCTAGCGCATTCGACGAAATCGCATCCTTTTCATCGAGGAGAGATAGGACCGATCGTGGTAGCTTTCGCGCTGACGAAAATCTCCGTGGAAAATCTCTCCCGAATTTCTCCCTTGGGGCACCCGACCCACCAGGTGGAACATTCGGGGATGAACGTCTACCCGGTGAGGTCGAACGCGTGCGGCGACGTGGACCTGACGATGGCTCCGACCAAATCGGTTCACGACCTCGTGGACCATTTTCCCTATTCTTGGAACTGCGTGGAGAGGATCTTCCGGGAGGCGACCATCAACTCGTCGTGCAAGTGCTTCCCTGCCGACACTCTTTCGTCCCAAGGTTTCCTTGCTTCTCGGGATATTTCGGATCCGAATCTGGGGAAATGTCATGGGGTGACTGCATTTTTTTTTTCCTTCGTAGAGCTGCAGAACGTGACTCTCCCCGTGTGCAGACCCGAGACTTACATGTGGTGCATGAGACGGGAATTGGCGAGCGACGCGTACACGGAACGCATCTATGACAGGGCCGGTAGGCGGATTTTCCTTGCCGGGATTTTTCATTCCGAATGCGAAACGAGACTCCTGGCGCAATCGCTGCCTGAACGCGAAACTTGTTCGCATTTTTACCACAACAACCGCAGGTCACAAACGAGTTTTAAATTGTTATTTTCTTTGGAGGCAATTTCAAACCATTAGCAAATTTCCGCATGAGGTTAAAAAAAAAAATGAATTCTCTCAAAGCGACGGATTCCGTCGAGAAATTTCTCGCAAGCCTGTTTCTTTCTCCCCCCACGCACACACGCACACACGCACACGCAAAGACATTGTACATTGTCTTGGGGCACGTTCGTGTCAACTACTTTTCTTAACCATTCCTTAGATGCTTCATTATCTCGCCGACATTTCTGGGTGCCCGAGACCATTCGATGTAAAACAGAGCCGCCCGCGTCGCATCGCGGCTCCCGAAAGCAAGGAAACGAGACCCGAGGGCCCGAACGCTCCCTAAGCCCGAAATCGCGAAGTACGAAATGGAAATCTCCGCATGAGCGCCAAGTGGCTTCATCGACTTCGAAGGAAATTCGGCCATCAAATTTTTTTTCTTTTTCAATTCGAACGTAACGGAAAGGTGCATCAAGTCGGGAGTGTTGAGACTCACGTTGCCTGAAAAGCGGGAATCGTCTCTAATTTTTGCACCGCGAATGATATTTGCCGGAGTTAAAGTGAATTAACAGGATAATTATGGTGGGTTTGCAGAGTTTTGGGCGCCTTCAGGTAACGATTAGGTGAAACCAGATGTAGTCCCTTACGGCGCCTGTCTAACCGTAGAAGAGTGAAGCATTCTCTTCATCTGGCATTCTTTTCGTCTGACATTCTTTTCATCTGACGTTCTTTTCATCTGGCATTCTTTTCGTCTGACGTTCTTTTCATCTGGCATTCTTTTCGTCTGACATTCTTTTCATCTGACATTCTTTTCATCTGACATTCTTTTCGTCTGACATTCTTTTCGTCTGACGTTCTTTTCATCTGGCATTCTTTCCATCTTACATCAGTACAAATGCATTAGAAATGGCTTTTGGCTTTCAAACTTCTATTATGACGGATGAAATCACGATGAACGAAACGTCGGAGCTTTTCCGCTTCGTTTTTGAGTCTGCATCGTCCTATCTCTTCCCTTCCGTCCCGTACAGAAAATGTTTTCCGTTCCGAAGTTGGATGAAATTTTCGAGTCTCAAAATCACACGGGACAAAATACATAAACAAATAGCAGGCAATCGGCTTCTTTGGGATTCCCATTCTAAATGGATATCGCGAAATTCTTTCAAATTTCCTTGTAAATATTTAGGAATCCTGTGAGATCCCTGTAGGGAAGCTTTTGGAAACCACAGATTCCCGTGGGATCATGAGACTCTGGGAGTTCTATGGAATTTTCCGCCCGAGATTGCTTGGAATCTCGTGCCGCGATGAACGTCATCTTGAAACCGATGAAAAACTCTCTGTCGCCTTTGACCCCGCACGCACCAAACGACGATTCCCCCCGGGATCGACCACGATCGGCTGCTGGACGGGGTCCATGCCGTCTGCTTCTCAGGCGCGCAGTTTTTCTTTTAAGTGTAAGGTGCCGTAAATGTTCTGTACTGTAATGTTCTGAACTGTAATGTTCTGTACTGTAATGTTCTGAACTGTAATGTTCTGTACTGTAATGTACAGTATGTCAAATATAAAATGTACTGTAAAATGTGCTTTCCTCTGGCGATGGGAATCTTGTGATGCACTGTCGCCTTTCGACCAAAACACCATCACGTTTTGGTATCGTATGGAGTAAAACGGCAAAGAACAAAAACGCGAGACGGAGGTTTAACCGAGGTTCGCTCTTTCACGGCCGGATAGGAAAGGGGCCGTTCCTCCTCGGTTGAAACTACCGAAATTGGCGGAAACGCCCAAGATGCAGGCGTATATCCTCCCATTTTTTTTCTGCAAAATCAACCGATACGTGCATGAAGGTTCCCACGCCAGATTTTGAGGGAGCGCAAGGAACCCATGAAATCCAGATCATCAATGTGCCACTTTGAGGATGAACTTTTGCTTCCACGCTGGATTCTCCAATATGGAACCAAAAGGATCGATTTTAGCGTGGCCGACTACCTCGTATGAATTACCACTTTGCTTAACTCGAATCGAAATCATATAGAATTCCTAGCGAATCGGTATGAAGAAGAATATAGAAGCAAAAATGCTGCTGTGATACTTTTCATCAATTCACTTATGTCGAAAATCGAAATGCGAAAAGACCTGAGATAATTCTTGCGTCGACACATATTGTCGATTGAGATATTTAACTGGGAAAATGTGAAGATCGGAGACGTTTACGGTAGAAACACGTACTAAAAAATCTTACCTCGTCACTGTTCAGTACCCCTGGCAATCTCTCCGACGAAAAACTGGCGGAGTTGGCCGAGTCCCGCAGATATTTTCGGCAGAAATCGTACAAAAATCAGAATATAGTGCATTACAGCACTTAGCAATATAAGAAGAAATGAGACAGAAACCCGAGAAACCCCGGATCCGTTTCTCTATTGCACCGCGAGCAGCTTCACTTTTGAGCTGCTCCCTGCAGCTCCCATCGAAAGAGTTAAACGCTCGACCGCCAGAACGCGACAGGCCGAGAAATTCCACTGCCACGCACTGGAAGCGCCGAACGACCGCGTCCTCGTCGTCCACTCTCGCATCGCCTTTCCCCAATCCCCACACGTCTCCGCTGCCGTCAACCTCCGCACCGCTCCCTTCAGTTCCATGTGCCACGCCATGCTCCTTCCATCCCACACCCTCCCACGAGCGACATCCACAGGAATTATGCTCTTGCCTCAGTCGCAGTGCTGTTGAAACTCCTTCGTGTATTTCTTATTTCTGGCGTAGTTGTTATCCACTCTCTGTCAGAATGAGAGGACTGAAATAAAGATGAATCCGACCACTTGTGCTCTCTTCCCTATCTCCTCTGATACTTGGTGCAGTGCATTTATTAATTTTGTTTATTTTTCGCAGGAATCTTTCCATTGTCAAAGTCTAGCCCCCCCCCCAAAGGGCAGTGTCCTTGCTGATCTCTCCTTTAGTGAACATTTTTTAAATAATCGCAAGTGTGATATGTTTGAATGTTGTCCATATCTTCTTCAAGAGCCAAGTTCAAGACAAAATGGAATTCGATCGTGTGTGAAGGTGGTTTTAGGATATCATAAAGCTTTCGATTCTTCGGGTCTTGGGTGCTGGGTTGAGACCTTCCGGTTTTCCTCATTTTGTAGTCATTATGAAATGAGCGCTTTTCTGACGGACTTCACCTAGTTTTTTAAATTTATCCTTGCAGAGAAGGAATGCAAGCCTCTTTGCACAGAAAGCTCCTACGAAGCACTGGTCACCTACGACCACTTGAATCCCGCCTATGTGGAAAGCGTGATGAAGCAACTCGGACGTAATCTGACGCAAAGGTGATGGATGAATTTATAGGCATTGAAATCGTCAGCGCAAACGATCAAGACACTATTGTCTCGTGCAGTGGGGATGTGGCGATAATCGGGGTTCACTACAACATGCTGTCGGAACGCGTCATCACGTACACGGCTTACGCCATCATCGACCTCATCAGTGAGTCGAAATCTGTTCGGCGGCGTCCGCCTCGTTCGTAACGCATTCGACTTCGTAGGTAGCACGGGAGGCATTCTCGGCCTCATCTTCGGAGGCAGCTGCATGACCGTCATCGAGTTCATCACCTTCAACGTTTGGCTGTCCCGCCGCTTCGTGATGTGGGGGAACAAGCGGATGCGAGAGAAGGAGGCCAGGAAGATCGTCCTGGCGTCGCTGAACGCGGCGGCGCGATCCAAGGGGACCATTTATCTCGACAAGCGGAAGTCGAGGGGACTGACCACTCGGGACTGTCTGTTCGTCTGAGTCGGTTGCAGGGGCTGAAGGCTTTAGGTGTCGTGAGGTAGAATAAAGCGACGGCAAATGGTTCGCAGATGCTTGTGAGACTCCCGTCGTTCGAAGAATCCCACGCGGCCCACTTGCGGCCCACTTGCGGCCCACTTGCGGCCCTCGTGCAGGTGCGGCGGTGGTGCTTCGTAGGGTTTCCGAGTCTCGAATCCCATCCACATTAATTTTACTTAATTAGTTAATTAATGCAGAGTCTGCGCTTTTGGGTCTGAAGATCCGGCCATGATGTGTTTTGCGTTCAGGAGATCGAAGTCCAAAATCTCTTTCAAAATTCTTGCTTCAGCACAGCTTGCATCTTCGCGTGTTTTGAAACGCAGTTCCGTGAGCGAGTGAACATTTGGTTGCGCCGAGTGAATTACGAGTGAAAATGCGACGCTAGATGCTTCCGAAACGTGATTTCGTTAAAATTCGATTAGCTAATTGTGAGGTTAAGTGCGTTCAGGTTTTTCCCTCTCCAAGAAAAAGGTTTTCTCCAAAAATATTTAAAAAAAACTTTTCTTGGAGGAAAGTAATGCCAACTCCAGATTTTTATCTCGTAATCTTGTAGTCGAGATTGGTTGTTTTAGAGGGTTAACGGAGAAAATCTTCTGCGAGAGTTGCTGCACCGAATGCGAATTCTGGCAATTCTGCACAGTGCAAAAAAATGATGCTCTTCGTTTGGGGTCCAAAATGAAAGATGAAATTTTTTTTATAAATGAAAAAATGCGAAATTCTCCGTTCCTTTCGGACAATTGATCGATTGATTATTGATTGACCGACTCCTTCGCTCCGACGTTTTGTTTCCTTGCTTTCGTGGGCGCGATCGGATGTAAAGGTCGTATGCGTTTTGTACCGTGGGTTTTGGACCTCGCCGAAGCCCAGGTCCAGTTGTGTAGACCTCATTGCATGTCGAAGTCGTCTAATAACTCCAAATTTCGAGGAAAAAATCCCGACGAAGGCACAAGCGAATGCGCATGTTGGGGGAAAAACGCATTTTCTATCAATCACATTCAGACACACACGCACACACACACACACACACACACACGTTGACATGCACGCAAACCAACATGACATATAGGTGTTCCAAGTCAAACATAGAAATAAGAAAGTCTAATGCGACAAGGAAATTGAAATACGTGGCTGCGCTGCACGGCAGCCCGAAAAAGGAGCATCCAATTTTTCGTCTCATTCCCCTTCGCCCCCTTCGACTTCTCCCTCGCCTCGCGCGCGAAGGCGGCCGTCGAGGCGTCGGGGTCGGTCCAAGGATTCCGGCAGCCGGGAGAATCCCTTTTGGAGCATTCAACGTGGAGGTTTGCCGAGTCGGATGTGAGCGTGAGCTTGCTGAATGCGAGAGGGAGATTCAAATAGAGGGAAAGTTAGGTTGCTTCAAGGGTAAAAAATAGAAATAATAAAAGGGTCCCCTATTTTTTCCCCCCGTTTTTTAAATTATTATTCACGAATTGCATGAAGCAACTCCTGGCAGAAAGTAACGAGAGGAATTTCCTCCGCGATCGAGACATGATGCATCGTAACGGTGATTACGATCATGACAAGTGACGTGATGATGTAAACCGGCCAAGCGATCGCTCTCGTGACATGGGGTTTCCCCATTTCGTTTCCCTCGCGTCGCGATCGGCATACGCGACGAAGGGGGCGAATAGACTGCAGCGATGTGACGTCACGCGCGTAAAAACATGCATTCACATGCGGAGTCCAGGCCAGTGGAAACGCAACGAGGTAAATAAAACGAACGCGATCGCGACATTCCTCGCGGCGATTGGGACATTCCTCGCGCTTCCGGCTTCCGGCGGCCCCGGAGGATGCGCAATGGCCCGCTTGCCGTCGACGACGGGTTTTCGCGAAAGAATCAGACCAGTTCAGGAAAAAAGGATTTGTTGCGTTTTGCCTCTTTCCTTGTAGTGCGCAGCTGGAAGTAGCTGGGTAAGCATCGGATGCCTAATTAAAAAAAAGTACAAAATAATAATAAATGAGATGGCTACGATTTTCGGTGACCGGCCGACAGCGAGATGCGAGGGATCAGGGACGAGACGACGGAGATGAAAACGGGGGCAGCCTTGACTCCTGGAATGCCGGTTCTCCTCCGTGTCCTTGACTTTCTTTTATCTTTCAGAACGTTCCAGAAGTCTCTCACGTCCTTCGCTCTCTCTTGTCGTGCTTGCGAGGATGGTCAGCCGGAATACCAATAGGTTGCCGGCGCCCCGATGTTGCGAGGTCGTCGCAATGCACGGCGCTCGCGTGGGGCGGGGTTTGCGTGGGTTCGATCGTCGCGACGGGCGGCGGCTTCGTTTACTCGACGGTCTTGGATGATCCTTGCCGTGGGCGTCGTTAGGCGGTTTCATTTTTGGGGGTGCAAATCAAGCATCGGGTGTTCCGTATATCGGGACGAAATGGCCCTTATACATCCGCGTCTCCTCCAGTCTTCGGAGCTGCTTCCGTAATTTTCTGCAGCTCCCTTCCGAAGGGGCAAACGATTGGCTAAAAGAACGATCAAAGCGTAGAAACCTTTCGGGATGGAGTTTCTGTCGCTACGCGCTAGGATCGCCGGAAGACCATGTCCTCGCGTCGTCCACTCTCGCATCGTCTTTCCCCAGTCTCCACCATCTCCCACACGCCTCCGCTGCCATGAACCTCCATCCTTCCCTTCGGTTCCACTTGCCGCACGATGCCCTTCCCGCTCCTCGACCTCCCACCAGTGACATAAGCCGTAATGATATTCCACGGGAGTCCTGCCTGTTTCCTCTCCGGAATGCCGGCCAGCTGTGAACCATTCTCCAACCCGAAGTGAAGACTCTACGAGCCTCTCCCCCTCCGTCCCTACTTATTCTCTTTACCATTTTCCCCAAAATATCGCCTCTTTCTGGTGTGAGGTTCAGTCCAACTGTACCTTTCGCTGCCACATCTTTGCGCGGATTTATTTATTCATTTTTTTTATATTTGCAATTGCAGGTCTTTCTTGTGATATAATTGAATGAGATCAAGGTCATCACAAAGAGGCAAATTCGTTTAATGCTATGAAAATGGAGATTCAATGGTGTGTAGCGTGGTGTCAAGATGTCGTCAACCATTACTTTGAGATCTTCGCGTGTGGATTAAACGTTAAGGTGTGGTTACTAATTAAGGTGTGAAACCTCGTATCCTGATGTTACGAGGTCGCCACGATGCGAACATGAGCCTTCTCTAGGTGGGATTCAGTTGGGTTTGATTCATTCCCTTGCAGACAAGGAATGCAAACCTCTTTGCTCAGAAAGCTATTATGACGCGATGGTCACCTACAACCTCTTGAATCCGGCTTACGTGAAGAACGAGACGACGCAATTCGGATACAACCTCACGCTAAGGTGAGGAAATTTTTTTTTTAAGGCAATCGAGCAGTCAGCAAACATGATGCAGAAACTTGAGCACTATTTTCTCGATAGTGAGGTGACGATGGTCGAGGTCTACTACAGCATGCTGTCGGAAAAGACGATCTCGTTTTCGGCTTACGCCACCATCGACTTCATCAGTGAGTCGAAGAAAGTTTTTCGGGTTGTGATCCGTCCGTAATGCGAACGCATTCCGCAGGTAGCGCCGGAGGGATTCTCGGTCTCATCTTCGAAGGCAGCTGCTTGACGATAATCCAGTTCGTCACGTTCCACGTCTGGTTCTCCCGGCAGTTCATGATGAGCATGAAGAAGAGGATGCGCGAAGAGGACGACAACTACGAGGAGGACGGCAACTATGAAGAGGACGACAACTACAAGTTCGATTTCCAGAGCAGGAAGTCGAGGATGACCATTCGGGACTGCTTCTTCGTCTGAGTCGGCGAGGAGGAGGATTAGTCGAGCGTTTCGCTCGGCGGTCGAGCCGTCGAGTGCTTTCCCATGCGCAAGTGTCTAGTTTACGAGCGTACCGTCGCTTGAGTCTCGCGCGACGTCTTGCAGAGGGTTGGTGTTCTAATCCGAAAAGTATCTCTGTCTAAATTTCTGAGAGTCAAATTTTCTGATCGAGCTTAACGGCTACTTTTTCCATTCCGTCTTGGGGAATTCGAGGAACAACCGAACAGTAGCAATTCTTAAAATACTGAAAAATTCAAATACTTGGAAATTAGAGTGTAAAAAGCAAAATACTCATCTCTGGGGGCTGCGATGTACGAAATATAAAACACTCAAAATACTGTCTGTGAGGGCCCAAATTTAAAAGATGCTTGCAGAAACACGAAATACTTTTTTGTACGTCTCACGGTCGTAACGCAAACCGAGTCCCACTGACGAGAAACCGCCTTACAAAATGAGAGAACACCAGATTGCCAAAAGGGCAGACGAACAAGGAGGCAAGCAACATTCGCAAGCTCCGAAAGGGTGCAGCTTCTCCATCGGAATTTCTTTTTGCGCCGGCGAGGATGTTCGCAGCTGTCAAATAAACGCTGGAAAAAGGCTCCGATCGAAAAACAGTCTCAGGAACAAAAACACAACGATGACAGGCAAATACGACATAGAAATGGGCGTGAAATCGAAAAGAGAGCGATGAGTCGCTTTCGATTCCGTTCACGATGGTTCCCGGGCCGGATAGAGACACAACCGGCATCCATATTTAAAGCAGTTAGGAAATCCGGACTCTTGAAATGGGTCCGGAAATCCCGTGAATCATAGACGGACATTTTAAACTTAATTGGGGCAAAACCTTGGTAAAAAAAATTTTTTTAAATCACTTTTGCCCTTTCAAGGTCAAAAGGTCAACTTAAAAGGCGGGAAAATTTCCGTGGGAACTCAAGGTGGCCAGAAACTTCGAATGATATGAAACCCTTCTCTTATACCCCTTAACCGAAGAGGTTTTTTTTTTGCTGCGTAAGTAGGAGTTTTTTTCAGTTTTTTCAACATCTCCAAATTTACGCAAATACATTTACGCATTTTGGAGTTCCACTCCAAGAAGACGCAGTGGTGCGGCACGATAGAAAAGCTGGCTGGCCCCGTGGCCTTGAGGCAAAACGTCCTTGCGTACGATTCTGACCCTGTCGAAGAACTTTGTCTCTTT